CCTGATAAAAAAGAAAAGTATCCCAAAGCGCATATCAATTTTCTCCCTTGGTCCCTAATACGTACGATATTTTTCACCGAAGTGAAATTTTCCCGAGTAAATAATTTAGCAAAAATTAAATCGGAAAAACTCCTGAACTGGATAGAGTAATACTTAGATACCTATGCATCATTAAATAGGAATGTGCGCAGTTTTGCATTCTGTAAAACGTTTTGGATTATGTGAAGCTGAATGCTTACAGTTTGATATTCAAAGTGGACCAGGTAATGAACCAGAGCTTTTAATGTATGCACCTTGGCCTATCTGGGTCCATTCGCAGCTACGTTCCTGCAAACAACTTAAGGAACCAGTAAGTCGCTTTACCTGGACTAAAATGAAAACTAAAAACTCAATCTGACTCCGTAGAAGTTGTTTACAAAGAAATATAAACATATAGGTACTCTGCGATCTACATAAGTCAGGTACCTTATCTTTTATCACTCAAAAAATAGAGAATAAAAATTTATATTTAATTTTAGCCGTGGTTAAAATCAGGAGTCTTATGATCCAACCAGGATTAGTTAAGTTACTTGCATTAGGGTTGTAATTAATGTCAGCTAAAGGTAATAATTAATTTTTACGTGATTTTTCCTACAGATACTTTGAAAATTGATGTAAAGCAAAACTTTAAATATGAAAAACACTGTTGAGTTCTTCTCTTCCTCGTCCAAGTTAAATTCAAAATACTGATTTGCAAAAAAAAACGTAGACAAAGACGCTCTAAATAACATTTTTTTTGTTGGTATCTATTGTACTATATATCTGTAAATGTTAGCTAATTCTTCATCAATTTTTACTAAAAACCTACGTTTATTCAACTATTTGATTTGCTTTCAAAAATTTAGAAAATCAACCGTTTTGTTAAAAAAAACTTTGTAGTGCAGGTGTTATAAATTTCCATTGCTTTTATCATTCTTAATACAGGTATGTACTGTGTAGATTAAACATTTATTATCTGTATTACTGAAACAAAAACACAAAAAAACTTGATATAAAATGAAAATAAAAAGTCGACAATAACAAAAGCAATCAATTAAAAAGACTATGGATTTTATTCTTATCTTTATTGTTATGAATGTGGACGCTTAATTTTATCATTCAAATTGTAGTTATATTGGTTCTGCTTTGACTTTAACTAAAATTTATACAACACGTAAAACTAAAACAATTTTAGAGTACGGTTTATGTCGTATTTTACGAGGGTGGATTGATAAGTTTCCGGCCTGACCAAGAAAAACAAGGTTTTTAAAAATTTTTTTTTTTATTTCTCAACATAATCTCCTCCAAGGCTGATACATTTCTCATAGCGGTGTTCCAGTCTATTAATGCCATCTCTATAGACTGATTCGTCAAGCTCCTCAAAATAACCATTTACAGCTTCGATTACTTCTTCATTGTCCGCAAATCTCTTACCGCCAAGCCATTTTTTGAGATTAGGGAACAGAAAATAGTCACTCGGGGCTAGGTCTGGAGAGTAAGGAGGGTGCGGCATCAATTCAAACTTTAGATCGTTGATTTTAGCCGTCGCAACGATTGACGTGTGCGCTGGTGCGTTATCGTGATGAAACAAGATTTTTTTCTTCGCCAGATGAGGTCGTTTAATTTTCACCTCGTGGCTCAAACGTTGCAATAAGTCTGCGTAGTATTGACCAGTGATAGTATTACCCTTTGCAAGGTAATCAATGTATATAATACCTCTTGCATCCCAAAAAACAGTAGCCATAACCTTGTTCGCCGAAAAAATTGTTTTTGCCTTCTTTGGAGTTGGTTCCCCTGGTCCAATCCACTGTTTAGACTGTTCTTTGGTTTCAGGAGTGTAGTGGTGGACCCACGTTTCGTCAACGGTTACGAATCGACGCAAAAATTCGCTTGGATTACGCTTATACAATGACAAATTTGCGGTAGAAATGTTTTTTCGAATCAATTTTTGGTCGACTGTTAGCAAACGCGGCACCCATCTTGCACAGAGCTTTTCCATATGCAAATGTTGGTGCAAAATATGTTGCACACGTTCATATGACATCTTACAGGTCTCAGCTATCTCACGCACTTTCAATCTGCGGTCTCCCAGCACTATTTGATGAATTTTTTCGATCATATCTGGAGTTGTGACCTCAACGGGGCGTCCTGAGCGAGGCCCATCAGAGGTGCTCACACGACCCTTTTTAAACTCGGAAACCCACTGCTTAACGGTTGAATATGACGGGGAGGATGTCCCCAGTGTTGAGTCCATCTCTTTTTTAATTTCCTTCGGCGTTAACCCCTTCAAATAAAAGTATTTGATGACAGCACGATTTTCCTGCTTTTCCATTTTTACGAAAACCACAGAGGCGTCTTGTTCAGCGTGCTGTCAAACCTACACTAGCAAGGAGATCGGGCTGAAACTATAGCTACAAGCTATCCAAGGATGGTACTATAGAATGTCACCTCAAGGTAGGCCTAGTGGCGTCATCTCTTGGTTAGGCCGGAAACTTATCAATCCACCCTCGTAATGCGCTCTTGACAATACTTTTTAGATTGTTTCATGCAGACTATGTCGATGACGTAGGCGTGATCTCTCAATAGTTTCACAGTACGTTGGGATATGAAGCCATTTTGCATTTTTTTTTTTTTAAATATATAAATGTATTGTGTACCATTTTCACTGATATTATCTAGGTAATAAAATAGCAAATATGTTTTACTATATAGAACTTCTCAATCAATAAGGAAACACTTCCGTTTTCACTGTATAGGATATGTATCTGGTGCTCCTATACAGTCGTTATTATTAAATGAAAGTCGCATATTTAATTTAGGTATTAGAAATAAATTATTGGAGTACAATCATAATTAAGACAAACTAATTGTAAGTCCAAAACAGAAGTGAAATTATCGTTCTAATTCTATTTATTTTTATAGTTTGATATAAAAAAATTAAATATACAATTATCTAAACATTAAAAATGCTTGAAATGTTTAGTTATAAATAAATAGTGGGGAAGACACATAGTTTGCTAATTCAAAATTACAGTACAATTAAATGAAAAAAAAATTAAAATGGGTTATGTTTAGATCATTTTCAGTTAAAAAAGAGTGCGGGATGATCGGCTGTACGGTCCACTGCACTTCCTAGTACTTTTAGACGAACATTTTGCTTATATACTGTATTTGTGTGTGAGTGATATCAATTAAAGGTAGAGGTAATGTAGAATGTCATGAATTTTAACCTTAGTTTGTTCATTTATCCGCCCTGTAATTGATATCTACATTTCTACAGTTTATCTAACTTCATCCGTGATTACATTGCGAGGCACATAGTTAGAATAATAACCAAGTCAATATTTTCCAAATGTATAATACGAATACGATAAGGCCCGCCTCTCACGCATCTGAAGACCCATATCATTCTAAACTACCTATATTAGTTCATCTTGGTTTTGTCTACTGACTAAAAGCACATGGATTTAAGCATAAATAAGGTAGGGAGACTCGCTGTTAGTGTGGGGATATTTGTTGATTAACAAAGTTTATAAAAAATGTGCTCTATTCTCCTATTCTTTCTAATACCTCTCTAATGATGTTGATCGCGTCTTCGATGTATAGATTTAAAAATATCGGTGACAGTGTATAATCCTTAATATTTACTGCTCTACGTTGCCGATCCAGCTCTATAACTGCCTGTTGCTCTTTATACAAACNTTAGTAATATAATATGTTACGTCAAATGGTTTTCATTTGCTATAAAACGAGCTAAACATGAAGAGACATCGGCATATGGCATAGAGTGCCTCTTCACGGTGATTAATATTGAAAGCGAAGGTTAAAATTTCGTTGGTGATCATAATTCTGTTAGAGGAAGGTGATCTCATGGTACCGGTAAAGCAGAGGTTAATGAATTAAATTTATTTGACTAATAATGGGATAATTTATCATCAACAGGATGATTTACAAAATCACGTCCTTGTGCATTTTCAGTAAAAACGAAATTATTTTAGAACCTTAATATTTATAATATATATAGATATAAGTACATCCTATTTGTGTATTAATTTTGATCCTATTTTTCCATCGCTTACATACCGAATTTTTGTTTAATTTTTTTTAACGTTTATACCATCAATACCGCTTCCATTTTATTTATATTTTGGAATATGCAAAGCTAAAGAGCTAAAGGTAGTTTTGATGACCACAAATACCAAATTTCAAATTTGACGTTTTTTCAAAACCTTTTGAAAACTTTGTCTGGACTTCTGGCCATGGTTTGGAAAACTCTTAAAAAGCGAGTTGATGTAATATCCATATGCAGGCAGTGTATCGCCATCTAGTGGGTATTTCCTGCTACTAGTACAAGTATTCATTTTTAATTATTACAAATACGATTTCAGTATTTAATATGTCATATATTGATCCTTTTTCTGTTTCCAAGTACAATTAACTGTAGGTTAATTTGTTAAAAAGAACGTTTTCAATGTGCAATTTTGTTCCAGGTTTCTCATTTTCGTTTCTACATTTGTTCATTGGAAAAAGTTGAACAATGCGTGCTAAATCGGGTGTTAAGTGTTTAAATTGTGCAATCCGTCTAGTGATTATCGGGTCGGTAAATTCTTAAAGACATGCCAACTCTCGAGGAGTACATAATTGAAATGGAAAATCGTAGTGCCATACAAAGCCAAAACGCCGAGGGCCAAGATCTCTGGACTCAACTGCAACAAAAGGAAAACGATTTAGTTTTAGCCGCTGAACTGGGAAAAGCTCTGCTAGAGGAAAATGAAAAGTTGAAAAAACAACAGGAAACACTTTTAGACGAATACAACAAAAAAATAGAGGTGAGTTTTTTATTCGACATTTTAATAAAACTTACTTGCTGATGATAATAATAAACATGAGTTTTTCTTCTCTTTATTGAGTATTGCATCATTTCGTTTTACTATTATTTATTATTAAAATCAATTTTTCGTACAGGGTATCATGAAAGATATAATATACAAACAATTATCATATTACTAACCGCCTAATTAAACAATGAATGTTGTACATGTACCTACTGTAATCCCTAAAACACAAGTATAACTTAATTGTGATATTAAGAATAAGTTCCACTATAAAATAAGGTTATGTGCAACACCCTTTGTGTGTGGGTGTGTATGACAATTACTTTAGAATACTAAAATAGAAGCAATTTGTAATAGATTTAATAGCTGAATTTTATCCATAACAATTAGCTTGTTTTTTTTTGAAACAATGACTACTTAAATTATTTTTGAAGTAGTACATACTCCTCTTAGCATGGGACGGATGTTGCGCACGCAACATGGGACGGAAGCGGTAATGGCAACGGGTAACTTTAATCGAAAACATTATTTAAATAAATGCATAATTATTGTTATGTGTACATACGTTTGTACATCTACTGGCTAAATAACGTAAATATATGGATAGAAGTATTTGGTACTTTTATGGTCAAAAATAACACGCAGGGTTGTTCTTCGTTCGGTTTTCCCCAGATTTGTTCTAGTTTAAAGCTCATGCGGAGAGTGTGCAGCTTTTAGGTTATGTCTCAGTTACTATTTAGCCGATTTTGATAAAATTAATTTGCACCATATCTTGAAAATGCTAGGCATATGAAATTTCCGCGATTAAAACCGATTGTCGAAATACTGAGCTCATCTATATTTGTTTTCGTCTGAAGACCTCATGTAGGAAATATCGGAGTTGACAATAGGCCCAAACCTGCACTAATAGTTTAAAACTAAATATTGGTTTGTTGGTTATATTGGACCAATGTTCTGCCAATGTTAAAGTGCCAAAGTTTGGTACATTAACGTTTTGCTAAGTTAAGTCTAATTCTGGGCAACGAAGTATTGCCCAACCAATACCTACTGTTTGACATATTCTTAGACATGAAGGTCTAGTCAGATACATATTAGAGACAGAAACGGAAGTTAGGAGAGGTAGAGGTCGACCTAAATTAGATTACTGTTCGCAAATAGTTAAGGATGTGGGTTGATCTAGTTTTAGAGAAAACTAGAATCATACTAAAATTATAAAGTGAGAAATTATTTATTCCTGTGTAATTGATTTAACACAATTCTAATGATACGATATAAGTATTTTGAGATTAAGAATCTACCTGCTGCAACACAACAAAGTTGCAATAATGTGTTTGCAACGTTCTCTTAAATCGGGTTTGCACGTGCAAGTCATTGGTATGATATTGCTTAAATCACCCAGAATCACTTCACCAATTATATAACGTGAATCACTTTTTAAATCCGAAGTTTGTAAAAAGTAGGCAGTAAACTTGACGGAATTTGAAGGCTAGCTTCCGGATTTGTTATTTCCGAATTTTATAATGTGATTGGCATTAAAAACACGCTCACCTTCAACGAAATTTCCTTTCCGAGGCTTTGTGTCAGCCCAATCACATATTGTGTCAATACTTATCATTTTATCGTAATTTAAAAACTTGGAAATTGCACGGTACACTATAGGAACTACGATAATTTTTCCCTAATCGGCGCCATGTTTTTAGGCTCCTCCCATTTGACGGATCCCAACTGATACGATAGCTTAAGGCCACAATTCCTTATCAATCAAGCAGATTTATAAGAATTATTGCAAAAACAAGTCAGAGTTAACCCGAAGGCCACAATTCCTTCGGCTAGACTCTGATTTGTTTCTACGATAATCCATATAAATCTACATGACTAGAACAAAGAAGTTGATGGTGGTAGATGGCTTTTACCGCTGCGTTTGTAGGATTGCATGAGAAGACATTAAAATAGTAACGAATATTTTATTTATCGAAAGTACAATTACTGAACTCGTCGGCCATCGGTCAAAGCATCTGTTGTTGCTGTTTAATCAGCTGGAATGCAATTCGATCGTCCTCATTAAGTGCTTGCTCCCTTGAATATCGTGCCTGCTTGCTTATCGTTAGCCTACCGCGATGCGAAGTCGTAGGATAACCTGAAGCATTGTCTTCTTCCTTACAAACACGCATCACGCTTATTATGTATGCACTTAGAATAAACCAGTTGCAAGATATGGTCGATTCTGCATGCCAACTCTCACTATTGTTCAGTAACCAAACGAATGTGTGCCTATCTTATTATTATTTACCAATCTCACTCGGTTTAACATCGTCATTATTGTTATTACTCTTATTATCATTGTTTTTATTTATTTTTATATGCCATCAGTAGCTACTCCCATAGCCGATTGTTTTGAAGTTGGCGGTGACCACCCACGTACACATTTACCAATGTACTACATTTCGAAATCGGTAATATCATCGATTTCATTAAAATTTTAGTAGTATACTATGCACTTCATTATATGCTTAATACAATTTCAACCTAAGGCAATTTTATTATGAGTTTTTAAACCAATTTACCATGTTTCTGGTCAAAAGATCTCAAAAACAATAGATGATCGATTTTTGATAGTACAAAAGGTAATTTTATATTGTAGAAGTTTGTGAAATGGTCTGAAAGTGATAGAAAATCCAGTTTCTTTTGTTTCTTACACAAACTTTTTGACCAGGAATATTTCTTTTTTTAGTATTTTACATTGTGAAATATCTACAGTCCGTCCAAAATACCCCAGCGACCTCCTAGCAGTATCTAAATTCTTCCCGAAGGATTTTCATTGTCATACGTAAATTCTGTTCGTATTTAAATATGTACCAATATCTATTGGAGTGCTTAGTTTGTAAACTAGTTGGATATTGGATAGTATACAAACTGCCCAAATATTTGGTTTGACTGATATATTAAGTATACATATGTTAGGATCAGAAGGTTACCCTAAAAGAAGACAATACTCACTTCGTGCCATGTATTTCATAAAACTTTGTAAGTGTTGTCTTCTCCTACCGTCAAGTCAAGTCAGACATTTGGATAGTTTGCATTCTATCCAATATTCAGCCTGTCTACAAACTAATCAAATAAGCATATTAACCGTAACATATTTATATTTCTGTAAGCAAAAATAAAGGACATTCACTTCGTTCGTGTTGTCTTTTCCTACAGTAACCTTATCAAAGTTATTAAAGATAAACATTCTTCGGTTGTTTATATAAATATTCTTTATTTGATAATTTCTGTTCTAATGAAGACCCGTAGCGCGTGTAAGTTTTTGAAATCGTTCCATTACATTTATCATCCTTATTAAGTGACGCAATTTACGTATAGTAATAAAAATTGTCCGAACGGAATTTAGGTACAGTAAAATACTGACACAGAATGGAATTTATGTTTTCCCGGTTTTTCGATGTTTTTCTGATTGGTTACTGTATAAATACAATTTAAGATGAACAGATTTGATAACAAATTTTCAGTGTAGTATTCGGTGACATTTTTTAATTATTAATAGTGGTTTAATATGAAATATTAAAGTGAAAATCCGTTTTCAATTTTCCGTCCACTGCAAACTATCTCAGGCTAATGAGGGAAAATTTTTGTTGCTGTTGTCACAACCTCCGCCGGTAATCGAAAAAATTTTCCCTCATTAACCTGACGTAGTTTGTTGCGGATGGAAAACTGAAAATGAATTTTCACATTAATATTTCGGAGTATATTTGGTGTAGAGAACTGGGTTTTGAAGGGCAGCTTTGGTTAAGGTTTTTCAACAATTATTGGGGTCCTGTATCGTAATAGTAATCCAGTCGCTTGTTTAAAGATGCTATAAACAAATACAGTAGAATCCGGTTATAATGACAGCGAAGGGAAATGACGAACACGTTATACTAAGCGGGCGTTATACAAAGAATAGTGTTAGAAAATAAACAACTTTCCATTTTGGTTAGTTATTTAATTTAATAGAGAGAAAAACTACAAATTGTATATATTTATTAACAGAAAAAGAAAAAGAACGATGAATTGTAATATCAATATACATAAAAAGGGTCAGAAAAATAAGCGAAAATGTTATTATTAATCATTTGGGTCACTATAACCGGATATGATTTCTTGAGAATCAGTCATAACAAACGATATATCATTTTAAACGGAATCATTACAACCAAACTTTCCTATAGAGAAATTAATATGAAAACCAAACTTAACACTGCAATTACTTCATATTAAGCGGTTGGTCAATATAGGCGGAGTTATAATAAACGAATTCCACTGTAATAATGTAAGAAAGGGTGCTGCCGTCCCTGACAAGGGATAAAAAACTTACTAAAACCATTCCAAAACTCAGTTTCTCCTGTTTTTTTCGAATAGTATAATATATACGAAGAAAAATTTACAATAAAAATGATAGAAATTAAAATTTTTCACGAAAAAAGTCCTCTAACTACAAATAATGAAACTGGTAAAATGTTGTAAAATAAATCGCAAGAAAGTAAGTTGCTAATTTTCGATCTCTTTCGCATTCTTTCTTACGTATGTTTTTGTTGTCAGCATGTTTAAAACGATTTTTTCAAAATTCTCGGCAAGTTATACTATAGAATCCTGATTTCGTAGCCATGCGACTTGTTCATAATGTTACATAAACTGTAGCTTAATAAAACTGCTCGTACATTTGTAGAAAAGTTAAAAGAAGTTGGAGGATGTTTTAACTTTTAAGTACTGTCTTATTGTACACACTTTGATTGTCCCTGTGCGCACACCTCGTATTGTTCGGCTTAATTGTTTTAGAAAGTATTTGGCCGCCTAAAATTGTAATGCGTTTGTAATTCAACTTGTATACAAAGTAGTGAAACTGAGCATTTTGTTTTTCTTTTTTTATACGTTCGTTTTACTCGTGTAATTCGCAAATAAGGAAGTAGTAAAATGCCACATCGTGTTTGTTAACATAGAACACAAATGTATTGTTT